CCGCTTTCACACACATTCTAATCCGTCCCGGATTTAATGCAAAAGAATATGGTCACCTTAATTATTATTACCTAATAGCGTATTTAATGTCTCCCTTGTATAACATTACTCTGCCAACTGTTCTCAGAGTCTCGCAGAGGTCTTTGTTAATATTTTTTCGGTTGCCTCTCAAATTTGTTTGAAAACTGATATCATTGTTTTCTTTCTCCTCTTGACAAATTGAATTAGTAAGCGTGAGAGCACGCTGAAGACACATTAAGGACATTGTGATGTCTTGGCGAGATTCGTAGGCGCGACCCATACGACCCAAAGCACGCATCTGAAACAAAAATTATTTATTTATTTTAACAAATAATGTTTCATAATAACCATAATTAATTGTGAAAAATTATTTCTTCTGTATCATAAAACGAAAATTTAATGCAAGGTGCGTATTCAGTTGAAATAAAGTAAATTGAACAGAACTAAATCTCATACGAGATTTAGTTATAAGAATAAAACATAATTTAATAAAAATTAGACCTGGTTAGTAAGAAACAAACACAGTTTTGAACGTCTTGAGTTAAAAATAAAAAAACAGTATAAAAATAATTATAGAAACCGTGGTATTGAAAATATAATTGTGCCTATCTAACACATACTGTTCTAAAAATTTGTTTATCAAAATTAACTGTTATAAAATTTACACGTAATTAGTTACTATATAAAATGTTTTCAAATGAAAAAACTAACATCAATAAAGATTATTTTCATGTAAATTACCTGTAAATCTATTAGTTGCAAATCTGTACAATGTTTTAAATCTTCCTGGTGAAATTTCAATGCCGCTTCATGATCTCCTAATTTTTCATACATGAGACCCAATCCCGATAATGAATTGGAAATCATGGTGTTGTCGTTCAGTTCTCTATAAAAATAATTACATAATATACAATTTAAAAAAATACAAGACGTATTATGCTACAAGAAATATTTTTTTGGATAATATATTGAAAAACATTGTAATAAAATATTTTACCTGGCAATATCTCTTTGATGCTCCAAGCACGAAATAGCCTGTTCCGAATGTCCCAAAGAGTTGTGGATAAAACTCAAATCGGCGTAAGTTAGACATTTTTCTTGTAAATTTCCTAATTGATCTGAAACCACTAGCCGTTTCTCCAGACAAACCAGCGCTTGTTGTAAATTACCAAGCGACCTTAATAAAAACAAAAGTAATTGTAAAAATAATATTAATAACAGCCTCCTTATAGCAAAAATAATAATTTGAAATAATTAAGTATTACAGTTTAAAGTAAAGTAAAATTTAATATTATAAAAATTTATAAATTATTTTTGAATATATCGGTGATTATAATATTATATTCTACTTTTTAAGTACGACTAATGTAAAGAAATATCTTGTTTGTTCTTACTTATGTGAATGTGCAAGTCCTTTGTATGCCCGTTCTTGATCTTTTGCACATTTCAAATTCTCCAAAGCTAATTTTAAATAAATTTCATGACACTTTAAAGATTCCTCATAGTCGCCCAAGCATGAATAACAATCACCAAGTGATCCGTGAGCCCGCGCTTTTTGTTCTACAATGGCTTGTGAAGATATGTTAGCTGTTGAACAGTGGGAAGGTATTTGCTCAAGTAGTGCTAGTTGCTGCAAGAAAATGTTCCACTTTATAATTTTAACAATAATAATTAACTTATTTAATACTTACATGCTCTAAAAATCCTATGGCTTCCTCGTAGTACCCCATATTAAATTTAGCAATACCGAGATTTCCGTAAGCTTGAGCTTCTTCGATACAGTCCTTCAATTCACGCGCTTTGTCTAATTGTTCCTGTATTAAAATGTGAGATTTGAAAGTTAATTTTATAAACATGATGGATGTAAATAATAAATTACATATTCAATAATTTCATGATTTTAGACTTACCTGATAGCATCTCAACGCATGTGTATAATGACCTAAAGCAATATGTATAGCACCAAGTGCAGATTGTGCTCTACACTCGCCCCGAGCATCTCCCAATTCTTGTAACAAGGATAATTCTTGAGTATGGTGTGCTAAAGAAAAATCGTACCTCTCTTGAAGTCGGTATACACGACCAAGAGAAGAGCAGGCCTGTGCTTCTAAATGCCGATCTTGAGTCTAATTGATAAAAAACAATAAAATATATCTATTTGTAGATATATCTTAAATTACTTCACATTACCTGTCTTGCAAATTCTAATTGTCTTTGGTACATTTTTAACGCCTCTTCTTCATTTTGCATTTTTACTAGCACGTCACCAACATTTCCCAGCGCTCTAAATTTTCCTTGTTGATGTTGTGTCATATGAGCTATGGCTAAAAAATATTTTTGGCATTCCAGCGCTGTTTCTAAATGACCTAAAGCCAGATGTGCTAAGCCTAAATTACAATACGCGTGGGCCATGACGGCATGATCTTGCAGATCTTTCGCTAAGGTCAAATCTTGATTATAATACCTATAAAAAAAATTAATAAATGATATTGAATTTAAATACCACAAACAATATTTATAAAATAAAAGTAATAATATTAAATCGTAATTGAATTAAGTTTTAGATCAAAATCTAAGTTAGACCCTAAATTAAATAGCTCACCTAACTGCTTCTCTGTAGTTGCCTAAGCAATAATGAGCATATCCCAAGAAATGGCATGCTTTACCTTCTGCAGCTACGTCTCCCATTTCTTGAGATAACGCTAAATTTTGTTCATAATATGGTACGGCCTGTGCAAAATCACCACGACATGACAAACAGTTTGCTAAATTCAGCAAAGCACAAGTTTCTCCAGAAGTATCTTTCATTTCGCGCGCAATACCTGAAAATAAAATATATTAAACAATTATATTTAATATAATAAATAACTATATATCATCGGAAAAAATTGTAATTTATGGTTTCTATGTAACTTTACCTAGATGAGCTCGGTAGTGCAGCAATGCCATATCGTGTTCTCCTAAAGCTTGATATGCCACTGCAAGGTTTCCATGTGTTGATGCTTCTGAATATCTATCACCAACTTCTTGGCTTATAGCAAGTTCCTGTTTGTGATGTCTTATGGCAGGTTCGTAAAGACCAGCAGAGGAATAAGCATTACCTATATTACCATACGCTCTTCCCATACCTGCTTTATCCTAAGAAAAAATATTATATATTAAAATTTATTCTACGCATATAATAATAATAGCATTTTATCCGTCCTTGTATGTTATTTCGATAGACTAATTAAACAAATTATTCAATTCAAAACCCATATATGTATTTCGTAATGTATTACTATTACAAGTAGGCAGTGAAATTATTGCTATTTTATTTTGACAAAAATATATTGAATCAATATTTATCTTGAAAAGTATGCCAGAAGAGCATAATCAGCAGTTATATAAATTCTGTTTATGTTATGTTTAAATAGTCGAACCTGTAACTGGCGAGCTATGTTTAAATGCGCTTGGTGAAGTTTCAATGCAGCATCATATTCTCCCATCAATTGGTATACTATTCCGAGATTACTACAGGCTCTTCCTTCTCCCACCTGTTAATACAAATGTTTATTGTTTGGTATAAAATTATAGTATAACGTCGAATTATTTTTGATTGACATGCAACGTATAACTGCCCATGTAAAAAACAATGATTTTCTAAATAATCCCGCATAATTTGAAATTTATCCCGCAAACACTAAGCGATTGGCCTTGCGACTTGTTAATTGTCATTGCGAACGCAAGGCAAACTGGAAATTGCAATCGTTTGAAGTCAAACGAAAGACCAGTCGGAATCATTGGATGTCACCAAATTGTCAGCAATTTTTGATTGAATGGTGAAATTCAGTGCGTGTACATACGTGAGTTCCAGCAATTTGCATTGAGGTACATCAATTTAAAATTAACAATTATTGATTATTTTCATTACTCGAATTTTTAATTACGGTGCGTAAAGTTCCAGCAATTTACATTGAGGCACGATGCCATGCACCACTAATTTTCGTAGCTACAAACCTTGCGGAGCCCGAGACCTTTCCTACGAATGCAAAATTGTCGAAATCGGTTCGTGCGTTCTGGAGTTATATCGTCAGGAAGGAAAACCCGACTAATTTTTATATATATGTAGATATATATTATTGATTATATATTATTATATGTATATAATAATTACCTTGTCTTTGGCTCCCAAAGCGGCGTCCAACTGCCGTTCATGCCATCGTTTTGCCCTGTCCAGTTGTCCAGCGCACCTGGATGCATGTCCTAGTCCAGCACAAGCTCTAGCTTCCAAAGATCGATCCCGAAGAGATCGAGATAAATGTAAAACCCTATCATGGCACAACGTTGCCTGAGCAAAGTCTCGTCTGTGATGATGACAAGAGCCCAGATTCGAATAAGCGCGAGCTTCTTCGGTCTAAAAATTGTTAATAAATTCCTAACAATAACATTTCATACTAAAAGTTCTAAATATACTAATATATAAGTTATGGAATTGAAATACAGAGATAATTTATAACTTTAAATATGAGTTTAGAGATTTATTGTTAAAACTTTTTATCCGTACTGTTAAAACGTCTTACTCGTATACTTTTAAATAATCACATTTTTTTTATTTGTATCGATCAATTCAACATTAGCTTCAGCTATAAACGCGCTAGTTCAACTGAGTACAAATATTAGTCATATTGTCTAAATATATCATTACATTTATTAACCTTTAACAAACGAGCGCATTGATTATAACTACTGGGCATAGTTTTCGACGGATTTTTTGTGTGCTCCTTTTCCAAAGATAGAGAAGTAGCATAATTAATATTACATTATTAGATTTGTATAGTTTGTCTAATATTGCTTGTTGACCATTCAAATTTATTTTCTAACAGCATTGTGCCCATATTGAAATTACAGAAAGAGAAATCCAAAAATCTTCTAGGTATGTCATGCCGTGTGTATGGCGGCATTAAATTATTTTAGAATACTTACAATTTCGCGAGTATGGCGGCACTCGTTCGTTAAGGGTTAAATATTGTTCAATCTGTCTACGTATAATAGACTAGAGATATACTAATAAGTTCGATGATTGTATATAAACATAAATGATAATAGTTCGATATCATTATTTATTGTAAGATGCATTATGTATTTACATACCACGTTTCCCAATCGCTTAGCTAGCCTCAAATGTTGCGTATGACAATCTACAGCCGAATCGAATTCTCCCATTGCTAAATAAACTGCACCCACATTACCAATTTCTCGCGCTTCCTGAAGTCGATCTCCTAAAATTGTACCAAAAAAGTAGCATCTATAATATGACATATTATCTATAATATGACATAACTGACCTAATTGTTTTACTAACTGTACGCATTGCTTGTGGGTGGCAAGAGCATTCTGATAGTCGCCAATAGCTGTGTACACGTGACCCAAAGATGTTAGTGCCATAGCTGCCCCTTGCATATCCTAAGATCAATATTATACCAATAATTGGTATTTGCTTTAAATTGAAGTAAACACATATATAACAAATAATGCATGCAAAATGTTACTTATCCTCAAGCGCAAGAATAGTAAAAATAAATGAATAAAAGTTAAAATCGCCAATTTAATCATTAGAACAATATATTAAAAATGATTTAAAATATTTGAATTATTAAATTCGGAAAAATTACTTGATTTTGTTTCCTCGATCCAAATCGATTTAAATTGCAAATGAATACCACGAGTCAAATTTTAACATAGCACAGATTATACCACGGGGTATTCTAATATTGTCTAGGGATTATACTATCTCCAGATTTCTTTCGATCATAAATTTCGATTATAACACGGGGTATTCTAATATTGTCTAGGGATTATACTATCTCCTGATTTCTTTCGATCATAAAATACTTCTACATTATAGAAAATTATAGCAAAACTTTTAAGTATTTAAGAAACGTCTTTCAAATTTTTTTCTTGAATAAGAAGAAAGAATAATAATTCTTTGTCTTATGTTACGAAAGTAACATAAGACAAAAGCAAAATATTAGTCAATTTTTATACAAACTTTGATATAAAACTAGTCTAAACGCTTAAGTATAACTATGATAAAAGTTAGAAGCAATTCTTTGATACAAACATCAATATTCCACATCAATAATAATAAAATGTTAATATGTTTTAGTACCACTTAATATACAGATTTCTATTGCAATAAAACTTGCAATAAAAACGTCTTTTAGTTATGAGAAGCCCTACTAAATTTCGCAGGTAAACTGATTTTAATTTCTAAGATTATAATATTTTAAAAACATACCTTGCTTTTCATTGCTAGTACAAGCTGATGTCGATGTGCGGTTAAAGCTTCTTTATTTGCTCCTTGACTAAAATAAGCGGATCCTAGATTGCCATGTGCTCTACATTCACCTCTAGTATCACCTAACGATTTTGCAACAGCCAAGTCCTGTTGCATACATGATATGGCTTTATCAAGCTGGGACAACGCCCAATATGCAGAACTCAAAGCTGAATACACTGAACCGCTATTAAAAATAAAAATATCTTTTAAACAAAAACTTGGAAACTTCAATACCAAATCCAATTCGTAAAAATTCATACCGCAGTTTCAATGAACAGGAACCGATCTTCAGAGCAGATTCCAATACTACTACAGCCGATTGAAAATGACTTGCCGCCAAAAGTTCTTGACCCACTACCTGAAAAGTGATATAAGTTGTATATTAGACAGACTAAAATTGAATTAAGTACGTTAAAATAGTCTGAAAGTAAGTATACTAAATTTTCACTCTTTTTTTATTGGCTTCGCTTAGAGCACCTACCACATTTCTTTTTATAATCAATACTATTTTTTACATATATCCTATACTATCTTCTTTAAATTTAATTTTAGTCGAATAAGTTTTTTATTCAAAAATCAATTGCAATCATATCGATTGCAACATGATTATACAATAGCTATTAACAGAATAACATAAAATAACATGCATCACAAGATATTTTGAAATATCAACGCATTTATAAAATTAATGTCAAACAAAAGTATGATATAACTTTTACTTTTGTTGCTATAGTACATGAAGAGTACTTTATTTTTGAGCACCATAGGGTATGTAGTTTTGAAAGCAGCAAATTAAACTTATTTCAAATCCATATATAATCAATAATAAATATTTCAGTACTTTTACGATTATTTAACTGACAAATATTTAAAAATATTTCAACTATTCAAGCTTTAAATTTAATAAAGTAATATTTTTATAGTCAATAATATATAAATAATATATAAAACATTATAATAATCAAAAAAATATGGTTAAATAAACACTGTTATTCAGTTTTTGTTTTCATATTAAGGTACAGGTGGTAGCGCATAATCTTGTTCCAACAAAATGCGCAAAAGCAATATATGCAGTGGCGTCGGAAGCAAATTTTTGATGGGTGGGCTTGTTTTTTTTTTTGATACACAGCCAGAGGCTTCGTTATTTTTCTTTTTTCAGAAATACATACTAGGGCATTTTATTTTTTGAGATTGATGGGTGGGCTCAAACCTACACAGCCCACACGGTTCCGACGCCACTGAAGATATGTAATATGTGACGTTGCTTATGTATGTTTTTAAATTAAATAGGAAGTATCGATGGATATTTATATTATTGCAGAACCTATAATTAAGTAAATTTCTTCAAAGTCTAGTATTAGTATTACTAATGGTGTCTTTACTTCTACCAGCTAATGTTTGATTCTGAGACACAATGATAAGACGTCACAGTTCAATTGGGTGTCACATCTATAATACTCAGTTGCCTATATAAACATATAAATTATTTACACTTACTGATATAACGACGAAAGGACTTTGTCCCAAGCCCATTGTTCTGAGTTGTTCAAATGTTGGTCTCAGTTTACCGGCGAGGGGTGATTTCTCACAGGCCTCAATCAGTCCGGATAAAAGCCGCTCTGAATTGGGCTCCCTCGCCAAACCTTCACTAAAAGCTCCTAACGCTTGGTCGTGCCTGCCTAGGCATTGCAAAGCTACACCTAAATTATTAATATAGATAAATAAATTAATATATTAATTTAAAAATACCTATTTAAAATGAATTGTAACCATATTTGTCAAAGAACAACACCACACACCCCATGGTTTTTAAAATTTATTTGTTTCGAGCAACACCAAGAATTTTAATTTTTACCCAACACTATTACTATCTGTCACAATTATTATTGCATGGGTAATATAATTATGTATCACAAGTATCTATTTAATCAATGTTTTCTACTCTACTATACAATAATGTGATATATTACGATTGATTGAGATTTACCTTGTCTGTAACATCCTTTTGCCCATGTCGGACATAAATCTCTAGCTTTGCATGCGTCTTGCAGTGCTAAAGAAAAATGTCCTTGCTTTATTCGTGCTGCAGAACGGTTAGAATATAAAACATGATTTGTGGGATCCAAACTTAGAGCTTCTGTGTAAAGTATTACTGCATTAGCAAAATCACCTGCTTCGCATGCAGCATTTGACTGCCTCACCTTGATAAAAAATAATTATAATATTTAAACACCATTCTTACATTGCAGAAATATTAAGAATTTGTTTCAAATAGTTATATTGCAAAATTTCATTTTTGTATAAAAGAGAAATATATTACTACATACGTGGGCGTAACTAGGCAGCTGTTAATTTTAATTCATTGGATGTTTGCTAAACAATTTTCGCTTTAAACTAAACTTTTTATAATATTAGTAGAGTTTATTTTATTTTGTCTCTCGACCAAAATACTACTTATATAAAGAAAATTCTGATATATATCTACTACTTATTGAATCAAACCTTTAGTAAGAAAATATCCAAAACTGACATCAATTATATGCTTTACAGAAAAAAAAACGCTTCTAAAAATATAATATAACAAATATATCTATGAAAAGTAAATAATATGTTCTACAACAGAGAGAAAGTAGAGCAACGCCCCTTAATCTATAAAATACTGATTCAACATTTGAATAAAAACATATTAAATTATGCTACGATGCAGGAATGTGGATTATATTATTTTGGAGCAGAAATAAATACTTTTATGGTATGGGATAGAATTAATTTTGGCTAAGAGCTAATATAGCATAATTTAAATTTAATTCAATAATGTTATAACGTACCGTTGTAATGTAATTGTATATAACTAATGACCTAATACGTCAATATTAATTAAATTATGTTCGTTCTTTTGTTTACCTTTTCCAAAAATAAAGATTGACTAGCTGCTGGTAATTCTGAAGTTCCTTGCGGTTCCACCTAGAAATAATGAAATAAAATTTTTGATTACTTGTGGAAAATCAATATAGTTTATCTTAAAACAACGTGTATGTGTATAAACTTTCTGAGTTATTTTTAAATAATAATATGTGCTGAAGTAGATGTAAATGTCTAAATACTATATATGTTTACAGGTCTCTGACGAATTTATTTTTTATCATATTTATTTTAGTCATATTAAAGTTTGAGCTTAAAAAATTGTAGAATTATAGCGTGTTAATATAAGCATAATATTCTATAAGATTATACAAAATTTATATATAAAGACAATATAAATTCAAGAAATTTTTAAATAAATTAAAATAACAATATTTTATACATAAGGCTCTATCGTTACTGTTAAGTTTTACGCATTCGTGAGGTAAACGAAAAGTAACGTAAACCACATTTTATATTATTGTAGATAGGTAGAAAATTATAGGGGCGAAGCATGGGCAAAGTATCATTTGACTTTGCTGGGACCATAAATGGTTTAATGATGTTTTCGTCCTGCCAGAAACCACAAACAGTAAAGTTTTTTTTTGTTAAATTTTCTATTCTTTACTCGCTCAGTAACTACTGACTTAAAAGTGAATGGGTATAAAATAATCGCGGTATACTCATTTTTTAGATTATTTAAAAATTTATATATTTATGTATATATATATATATATATATATATATATATAAATATTTATATGTTTTTAAATTTATTTTTTATTATTTTTACCCATATACGACTTTTTATTAGTGTATTAAACACTTGTGGAAAAACCAATCTTATATATAAAAAATCAGAAAAAAAGCTCTGAAAATGCCATTAATAAAAAATGAAAAGCACAGAATATAGTAATTAAATCATTTTTGCATCACAATCTTATACTTTAAATATCATATTTTAATATATTTTGCAATATATGGTATTCTACTATCAAAATACTATTTACACATCAAATTTAACATTTGACTTTATTAGAAATTTTCTAGCATTCAAAAATTATTAAAGAAATTGTAAATAAAAAACGATAATATATTTAATTATATTATCATAATATTAAAAAAAATCAGTGCATGTAGGCCGATTCTACAGTTGGAATTGGTGCATTGCATTATAAAATATAAATGTATATATTTCAGTATACAGTCGATGGTGCAGACAACCCTTAAGTCTGACTTACTGTCTGACTATATTATTATTTTTCAAGATTTGTTGTTCGACGTTGCGGCGAGATTAGTGGGCGCAATGCATATGTTGACTTAATTAGTGTTTGCTTTGTATGCCGACATGAATCAGGTTTTAAGGTTCCTTACAGGAAATTTCAAATAGGATCCATAATGTTTTATTTACCATGTCGGTCTTTCGCGGTTCTTTGCCTCGGGAGTCTGGGACTACGAAAAATTCATATGATGTGTAACAGTTTTACCGAAAAGAATTAGAGGCTTCATGGATAAAAGTAACAGATTTGCTAAATTTGCTTTAAATACTAAAAAACTTGTAATACATAAGTGAGATCAACAAATAAAATAAATCATTGAAAGCACTGTTTCTAGATCAACATTACAAAATGACAGAACTTTATAAGTCGACTAACTTAGAAACATATCATATTTTAAAATTGTTATTAGATTAATATCAGTAGGCAAGTTACTTTTTTATGTTTTTGTGTTCTAACACAATATTCTTGAGATGTGATACTTAACGTATGGGAATGTTAGTTGCTCTACAATTAAGGGTATATAGACCTGCAAAGTAATTTTAAAAGTATATATGAGTAAATATATATATATATGAGTAAATATGCAATTTATTAAATTTATACAAATAGTTTGTATAAACTTATTTGTATAGAGATATGCTTACCTCAGAATAATCCCTTTGTGACATTGCAACTATATGTAAACACTGTTTTTGGTTCTAACAACAATTCTTCTAAACTTTAAACTTGAAACAATACACACAAACACTTTTATTTTATAAATGATCCAAACTTGGAATTAATACAGAAACAATTTAGAGCACTCGGAAACTGAATTGATGATGAACTCATTTTGCACTTTGCACAACAATATTTAATAAATAAACTTGATAAATATGTTTATTTGCGAATAAACATTAAAAATGTACATATTATGTATCATTAAACTAACGGTGTTGCAGACCAGAATGCCAGTTGATTTTTGTGATCCAACATTCTTCTTTGCTTTTGCCTTGTTCTTATAATTTACAATACATATAAAATATTCTCACATATATCTATGTGCGCTGGCTGTTAAAGCAAGACCGCTGAAGCCGTCGAGAGAATGTGAGGTAAAAAACATTTTCAGAATAGGTGGACCAGATATTATCATCATATCATTCACTCATCAAATGAATTTTACCTCATTTCTAAATTAATACATTTTTAAGCAAAATTATTTATTATTTGGTATAATTATAGAAAATATATTATATTATAAAAATTTTAAAAATTATTACAAATTTATATGATTATCAAAGAATTTCAGTTAATACAATTATTATAGCTATTTCTAATACATAAATTATTGTTTATATTTCTCCTTTATCTTTGTTTATAACTAGTTTATATAAAAGAATTTTATTAAAAAAGTTTTATATAAACTATTTTATCCATCTTTAAAAAAAAAAAACCTGTGTCGAACACCTGTGTACGTTCCACACCGCTGACAGGTTAAATGCTAGGGGTGGTCAAATGCATCGACAAAATCGAAATTTTGAAATCAGGTATGATAAAAATAGAAACTAGAAGACTATGGTATTTACCGTGAAAAAATAATCATAAAATTCGTCGAAATTTTTTTTAAAAACTTTATTACAAGAAAACGGCCCGGCCGATCTCTACTAAAAACTAATCAGGTCGATTCCCAACCAATATCTTTCGAACGATTTTTGAATTTTCAAAATCGATTCAGAATTGCAGGCTAAAACGTGGACGAGAAACTTTTCACTTCTCTGCTATTTACGAAGAAACTTGGCCGATCGTCGCACAAAACTGACAAACAATAGTCCTCATCGAGATACATCGAATGGCTTTTAAATTTTTGAAATCGGTCCAGCCGTTTTTGAGAAAACGGCGATTTACGGCAAAAAATCTGTTGGTGCACACGCACACACACACACACACTTTTTCCAAATTTGGTCTCATTCGATTCAGAATGGCTTGAAACGTCGAGAAAACATAAAATTAGCAAATCGGATTTTTTGATGAAAACATAAACTCCTTCGGGAAGTTAATAAGTTTTATAGCAATGTTAATTTAAATTTTTGTAGTGCACGAAATTTATTAAAAATTTTGAAAACTGTGAGCGCATACTATATCATTTGTAATTCCATCGAATTATTTGTGTTACATTATATAGATTTGTACATTCGCTCGTTCCAAATTTTCTGTAAAACTAGCGAGACTGGGGATTTTGTTTACTATATATATATATATATATATATATATATATATAAAATATTGTCCATAGTTTTATATATTTCGAACAAAATTCAATCACAATACTCCTTTTTTCATCGGCAAAATTAGAGTTTGCAAAGACCTCACTTTTTTCAGTTAAGATAACGTTAAATCACACAAACCAAATTATAGTTAAATAACTGTATGAGTAAATGCGATTTATTGCCAATGAAATGATTAAACCATTTTTGAATAATTGCTTAACGACTTTGCGTGGCCGTTGGCGGTATGCCGACGCCTAACACCGCTACTATTGTTTTTGTCTTTTGCAAGAAGAAATGTAAAAAATCTGAAATTTATAACAACATCCATGTAGTGTTACACTTGTATCGATTTCAATTTAAAACTTAGATAGTACTTATATTTATTATTATTTTAATTTCATACTTACAGAAGTTAACCCTATACTTATGGTATAATTATGATAATTTTATAAAGTTTACAAAATAAGAAACGTATGTAGTATATAGTTTCGATATCGATGTCGACATTCGTAAAATTGTATCCATACCTAGTATGCATGTCTGAAGTGCGTACCTACCTGTAGAAATAAGCTTCGCAAGCGCCCTTGCCAACATATGTATACAAAAACATCACATCTAAGGCGCACAAATTTATACACATGCATACTATACATATATCCATATGTACTTGCAAATATACACACAGGTGTGTATATATATATATATATATATATATATATATATATATATATATATATATATATATATATGGAGAGAGAGAGAGAGTTGAACTACAACTCTATTTGAGAGAGATTTCCCAATGCCATTTGACACCGCAGTGTCTAAAATGGGCTATTTTCAACTCGAAACATATTTCAAGTAAAAATAGACATCGCTGCTGCATGACCTCAGGTTGTCCAGAGCGGGGTTTTGAACTCGCGACCCCGTCCTCGCAAGGCAGCTGGTTAAATCATTACGCCATTGAACGACCTTTATAATTTTATAATTACATATGCATTTTATACTTTATATTATTGTAAAAATATAATTATATTTTTGTATCAGTTATTTTGCAAATTTGATAAACAGTGGCATTTTTATTACCCTTCTGAATCTTTTATTGCCAAACCATAGAGTAATATTTTAAAAATCTCGGGTAAAACAATTAATTCAGACTTTGTAATTATGCACTTTTAGATGTACAATTTTTAAATACTGTAAATATGTACTTATATTTTTAGCATGTTTAACATAATTTCTAAATTGTAACTATTTGGATTTTTTAATTTATTATTTATTGTCTAGATGTATACCGAAACGTACATACAATTAAACTAGAATTTCTTAAGTGTTATGATTCTCCTATTTTATTAACGAAAGTAACACATATATGTACAGTAAAAACTCGATAATCGTTGCCGATAGGCATTCGGATAATCAAAAATCCGGATAATCGAATGTATGAACAATTCTGTTATGTATTTATTAAAAATAACAAATACATAGATAGATATCAACGAAAATCATGTTTATTAAGACATTTAATTAAAGACATTTAATTAATTTAATAATTAACACTTACGCTGCGAACGCATGCGATTTTTTCCTTGACGCCCCTTTTCCTCTATTATTTTTAACTGTTTTCACAGTTTGTCATTAAAATTATGTGAAAAACTACGTGTGATGGCGCCCCCTCGACGTTGCGCCCGCATTTCATTCAGGGTAGGACTAACCCTGAATACGATAATGCCTTATACGATTTGTCCCATAATACCCCACTTTATAGCGGTCACTGCACCATTAAACATATTGTTTCTATCCCCTATAATACTGTTTCTCGTTTAAGACGCATTATTGACCAGATCTGTGGGAAATCGTCTTAACGGAGTTTTATTGCATATATATATACAAGATCACACATTTTTTCCTTAATAATAGTAAACTACTTTTTCAATTAAAAATTATTTAACTTCACTTTATGTGCTGCTGTAATCCAGTATATATATATACACCTAAGTCTGTTTTTACACGGTAGATTGGTTCCAGAAGAAGCCGTGTAAAAAAAGACATTGATCTTATACAAAAATGGGTGATTTGTTCCTAATCTCTAAAACCTATTAAAATTAGTGAAAAACAAGAATTTTTAAGAACAAGAATTCATGTTTATTTATTAAATCAAATATATAATGCTTATTTTCACAAGCATAGTAATTAATGATAAAAAAGTTATGCACTCTAATCTTAAAAGTAATATAAATTAAATGTATGGCAAGTTCAGGAACTAAAAAACTATGTTGTGAACGAAAAGAATAGGTTATTCAATTTTTAAGGTTTCCCTAAATTAGTGCTATTCACATTTGCTTTGACCAGTAAAATTGTTTGTTCGCGCTAAAGGGGAATTCACTTAAATCTTTAAACTAGTGTTCGCAAACTATCGATACTATCGATGGTTTCAGACTTTTTTCTTTCATAAATACTTTTTTGTGATATGAACATACTTCGAAAAAATTAAATTTGACAAAAAAAATTTAAGTACATAACATTTCAAATCGTGCTAAATGGAATAAAATCGTGTAAAAAAAATTAAAAATATTCTATTTTCAAACCGTGTTATATCAAAACCGTGTACAAAAAGACCATGTAAAAACAGACTTAGGTGTATATATTTATATATATCAAATACTAAATTAATAAAAAAAAGCAAATAAATAATAAAATTAAATAGTTATTACAAAATAAGCCCTCTATTTCTATTTAAGAAAAGAATAGTATCGCATAGTAAGAGAAGAATAGTATCCCATAAAAGTTAGAGAAGTATATAAGAAAACGAGCAGGCCAAGTGATATTTCATCCCCATATTTTACCTCTAGAAATTAGAATAAACAATCCGACATGCTTGTATTCAAATTATATGTATGTAAGAACGAAAGTGATTCTATTTTCTTTTTGTATTCAAAACATCCAACAATTAAATTTAATAATGACAACATTATTTATAATAACTAAGAAAACATAGGTTATTTATATTGGAATATTAAATGTTAAATTTTCGGTTTGATAGCTATATTAGTACGCAAAACACACAAAAATGTGTAATATTTGAACATATTAAATTAATCTATTTCTGTAGCATCATTTATGATAATCTAAATTAAATAAAATGATATTTGATTATTGCAATCTATTAGTACGAATATAGTAATTATGTCAGAATATTGAAAACGGACAAAAAATTTATATAAAATATATTTTAATGATGTTTACAATAATATTTATAAAATTTGATCTATAAAATACAGTTCTTTAGTAACAATACGTTTGAAATCTTATATAGTGTTTATCACACATATCAATTTTACATAAAATACTTGCCTGCATGATTGATCAATAAATCAATTATCATCAATGTTTTCTTGTTCAGTAGAATTTAATTCTTCATTTGT